GTGATGAAGTAGATACACTGAGCTGGCTGCAGTCTGTCAAAAACAAGCAACTACCGGGAAACTGAAGCATGAACCATTTGAGTTGTTATGATATTTGGAGAGAAGGCAGGCAGTGCATAGGGACAAAGCAGCAGAAGCTGAGATTGGGTGAACATGAGGATCACAGTGTGTGACGGGCACTTGGTGAGACCCTTGAGGAAAGGGAAAAAGAACGGGTGGAAGGAGGTCACGGTGCTAGAGGAAATGAGAATGTCGGGTCACAGATGCAGGCGTCTTTTCCTGGTTTACTTGGCATCTAGACCGAAGGTGTGACACGTAGGTGAAGAAAGAGAACATTGCCTGAACACAAACGCATAAGTCTGAACATGAGAGGCCAAAGTCAGTTTGAGAGCAAGTTGTTAAGAGTCAAATCTTGGGTTTTGCAGCCCAGAGGAGAAAAAAAAAAGGGCAGAGAGAGGGATTTAGTTTTGTTGCTATAATGTGTTTGAGAGCAAGCTTTGATAATTTTGGGACTTTTCTGTGAACACTGGTAATTGGGATGCACTCTGTCTCTCTCAAATTCTTTTGTGGTTTCTAGTCACGGGCTTTGATTGCTTAATAAAGACTCTCCCTCAAACGCATCTGCTCTCCAATCCACTTTCATTTTCTTCTCTTTGCCTGTTCTCCCTGTCTTCCTCGCCCTCGTTTATTTGTGTAGGTGTCTCTTTAGAGAGACTCTGTCCCAACTGGCTGCAGGTGCGCTGTGTTGCACTGGATCTTCAGGGTTGTTTTGGTAAAGGTGCATCAGCAATTCTCATCAAGTGTTTGTGACCGTTCTTCCCCACATCCTCATAATTCACAATATAGACCACCCCTCCCCATTACCGCCACAACATTATGAAATCTGCTTTCATGCTTTTGATGCCAGCGCGAGGTTATTAAGCCATCTTACCCCCACCGGGTGTGACGGAGCTCTCCCGCACCGTTTCCCTCTGACCATCCATCATGTTTTATACCTCCACAGATAGGAATGAAAAGATAATCAAAGTGCTGTAATGGTGCCTCAAACATGATTTTTTTTTTCTTCTCGCTATACCTGCAATAAACTCAGCTAATCAAAAGTTATTGTGGCACACTGAAAAGCGTCATAAAAATAGCAATTATATAAGTGTTTGAATGCTGTCTGGCATATATTGCCTGTTGTAGTGGTGCCCACTGAAGTTCTTTATGAGCGGGAACAGCTGGGGACAATAAAGATATTCAAGTGATGCGTTTCTGGCCTAATTTCCCGAGAAAGCGACCCACATCACAGGTGGACCTTTATCTAAAAAAACAAACTGCTGCTGCTGACGGATTAATTTGGACAGTATTAATGGGAGATCCAATGCCCTCCAACATTGTCTTTATTTTCTTTTTTGTTCATAAATTTGGAAGCTGTTGACGAGATTCATTTCGGATGTAAATGTTAACAAAAGAGTGAGTTCAAATCCAGGAACTGCTGTGGCAGCTGAGTTTGGCAGAGAGTAGACGGAAGCGAGAGATTTACAGAGTATGGCATAGTTGGTTAGTGGAGATGGAGTAAGTGAGATTTACAGAGGTGAAGGGGAAGAAAAGGAGGTGAGGGAGAGAATCTGTTGAATAATTCAGTGCCCCCTCCGTCTGTATGAGTTAACGTCAGTGAAGTTCAGGGCGTCCACCAAAGACTGCATTACTGAGGTGCTTCTAGAACCATGTTTACCCGCCTAGAGTGCATCGAAGCACGCGGTGTCACACAGGTGCAAGATTCCCACCTTGACACAGTGTGCATGCACACATACAGAGAAATGATGTAGACTTATGGACAGCTTGTACAAACACCTAAATGCATTTGCATTAAAGCATAGGCAAACACTCAAAAACTAAATACACACAAAGGCTCACGCAGGCTGCATGTCCCTGTAGTGTGCACTGTGCTTGTGAATAATTCAGGCATTGAGGAGAGCAGTGGGCTGCTGCTGAGACAGCAGGTGACCCTGCAGCCAGCAGCAAGGACATGGTGGCTTCCTTTCCTGTCCTCTCTCCTTTTTCTCTCCTCTCGTCTCCAAAAATTTGTTTTTTGAATAAACATTAAATACAGTTAAAATGTACCATTCAGTGCACTTCCCCTTCCATGCTAATCACTTAAAAGAACAATGTCCATTAACAAATTTACATGAAACGCTGCATTTTTCATGTCCCTATTCTTTTTTTCAATTCTCAAAAGCCTGAGCCAGCAGTCAAAGAGGCACCAAACGAGGTGATCGCCAGGGCAAATGCAAAAGGCATACTGGACAAACTGGGCTCCAACCACCTTACTAGAAAAGAACAACACGAAAACAGCAGCAGGATGAAAAAAGCAGCCAGTGTTCGCACTACCCAGTCCCAGCTCTCTGTCAGCATTCAGCCAAAGCATCATCAGACCAAGAGGAGTGACAGCGCTGTGCTCTGTGGACATCAGGATTTTACTAACATGAAGCAGTCTTCACAAGGTGGGTGTGCACCCAACAGTCAAATAACTCAAGTCAGCTGAATGTGCAGTGGAGAGAAAAGACAGATACCACTCTCATGTGTCCATTAAAACTAAGCTAATGACATCTAAGTTAGAATAAAATGTGGAAATGAGGGCAGAGCTTGCCTACATCTCTAAAAAAGAAAAGAAATAGGCTGTGGATAATTAAGTGTCACTGATTGGTTGCATCATCTATATTTAGTAAAAAAAAATTTCAAGCTGGGATTTATAGATGTTGTGTACCAGTAGTAATGTTTAGTTTGGTTGGAAGGAGTTCAGCCCTTTCTCCTTAGCCTCCTACACTTTATTTCAAAATGATAAATTCCTTTTTTGTTCCATCTTATTGTTTTTATCCTTTAGAAAAACCCAAATCACTGCGCTTGCAAGCCACAAAGGGCACCACATCAAGCTCGTTCTCTTACTCCAGACCAGAATGCAACAGCTCCTCCTGTTCCTCCTCCAAACTAGAAAAAAGCTTACACACTGCTCCTGTCACCACCACTCTGCGTTATTCTTCTTCTTCTGCCGCTCCTGCGGTCCCAGCGGCCCGCTCACGTGGACCTCAAAAGGAGGTGCTGAAACCTGTGCTCTTCGTCCTGCCTCCCGTTCACTTCCCCAACTTTTTTCCACCCCAGCACAGCCGATCCAGATTCAGCCCCAGCCTCAGCTGCAAGTGGAAGAGACAGACTCAGATCATTTCCTCCTGCTCCGGCGGCAGTCTCTCCAAAGATGCTCAGGAAATTCCCGTCCTCACACGTTTTGACCTCACAAACACAAAGAAGAGCATAAAGAAGAGCTAGCCTTTGTATCAAACGTCTAATGAAATAAAGCTAGCAGTGCCTAAAACCTGCACGAGAAGTTCTGCGTTGTTAATGAACTGCTTCATGACACACAGCATGTGAATGTTGTCTAACTCTAAACATTATTACTTATCGTAATTTAAGTGTCATTGTGTGCCATAAAGAACAACCTAGTCAAGTCCAGTCAGACTGTATATATCTATATTTCTGTGCCGTGTCATTTCAATGTCAGCACATGATGAAGGCCTATATTTCTGCGCTTCTACTGACCTGAAAAATTAAAAAGGACATTTTTTTTTTCTTTTGGTAATGCATTTATTGTCACAACAGCTTACATTTACATGGTGTGGAGATGGGTGAAGAGCAGAAATGAAATGATTTATAGCATCTCTCTAGTTTGTTTAGTGTGGTTTTCATTTAGATCAGACTGCATTCACAGAGTTCACACTGAGTGCAGGTGGTGGCCCCAGGCCAAAGGAGCGCCGTTAAAAACTTTTGACAGCAGTGACAGCTGACACCCTCTCTCTCTTTTTTTTTTTTTTACTGCTATGAGTGCATATCTGTGTGTGAATATTTGTTTGTGAGTGGGAGGACACTGGCTGGATTTACTGAATTTCTCCTCAGCTTATGGCACAAATCTGATCTTTTTTGGTGTCCAGCAACATGAACACGCTTCACATCTGCCAAGTCGAGCGGAGTTTCTTGCTTCTTCGTACATTTTAGGTATATGTGGTAAAGTTTCCTGAGGAATTTAAGTTGAAAAGAAGCAATGTTACATTCCTTTTCGATAATGTATGCAGGAAAAAAATACAATCTTAACTGATTTTTAGCACATTAAAAACTTTCTTTTGCTGATGGACCCATTTGTTAAAACTCATTAAAATACAATCCTTATTTGTGTGTTGTAAATTAGGCAGAAAGCAAGCTTTTAATTATGTTTGGTAAAAGGCCGGATTATTTTTATTATTTTCTTTTTGTGCCAGTGTGTAAATCCAGTTATGGTCAAGTGGAAATGAATTGTGCCGATAGCATCTATTTTTCTTTTTTTTTGTCTTCCCAAATCATCAAGATAAAACAAACCCCATCAAGAAAACATGCAAAATCAAACTCCGCTTCTGTCTCATTATTTTAGTCACCAAAATCTTATGTCACTCTAATATCCACAAGCTTTATACCCTAAATTGTCTCTTCCCCCATACAATCATTTACATATGCTCGATTATTACAATCACTTCATTCGTCGTTAAAGGAGATGGTAAGTTTTTGCCTTTTCTTTTTTTTTTTTGAAGTTTCTCATTCATCGAAACGATTGAAACATTTTTATGCCATTTGGTGGGCAGCTGCCAGCTGCATGATCTTGGTGCTTTTCTCATTCATCTGTCAGATATCCGTGACCACAGTCCTGGGAGGCTACAGCAGCTCATCTAGTTGAGTTCAGAAGGAGACAGAAGTGGAAAGAAAAACTGGCGAGGGCTTCTGTTACTAGTTTGTAAATAGAAACGTGATTTTTGTTTTCATCTTCTTGGTAATCCCGTATCCTGTCTGTATGATGCGCGATCGAGTAATCCATCCGTCTCAGAAATCCACATACAGGAGGAATTATGTTCCACGTGGTCAAAGTAGTGTCAAAGTTCAACAGTTGACGCCAGCTTTTCCCTTCTTTCACACAAAACAGGTGAATTTTCTTTTTCTTTTTTTTTTTCTTTTTTTTAAATCGTCAGGCAAGAATGGTTTTTCTTTCCTTTAATCTGTGTTGATGTTTGTTATACTGTATGTACATCGTTGGTTACCATGGCTGGTACTGATTAAGTGCTATTGTGGCGAAAGTGTGAGTGGCTTCCAGGCTGGGGAGGGGTGCAGTGGTCAGAGGTGACGGTCATTGCTGGGGGAGTTCTGATGGCTGTTTCTTGGGTTTCAGAGTGTCTATGAGAGACTGGACGCCGCGTTTCACGCTAGTGGTCACCCGCCGGGTCACTGAGTCTGCAGACGGCGAGGAGGAAGAGCCAGCACGCTGGGAGGGCGGCCGTGCTACCAGGCACTTCTGGTACCGAAGCTGAGAAGGAGAAGGGAAAGGTTTTTGTGAGGAAGTGTTGGAAATATTCCAACCAATGTCAAAAGTGCTAAACAAAGAAGAAAAAAATGTGAAACTAGCTGCAATAAAATCCAACACATACACTTTTACACTTCAGTTTTAGTGCTTACCACACAAGCTGCCTGGACAGCCTCGGATACACTGCCTGCATTGGGTTCACACCAGAACACGTGACACTGGAAATGCTGGCTTCCAGTGTCCATAATGAAGGCAAATGAATGAACATCCCGTCCCACGCCCATGAAGGACAGAAAACGGACACGACACTCCACCAGTACCTCCTCTTCCTCCTCCTGCGCAGCCATGAAAGAGGACAGTTAGACTTTGCTCTCTGCCTCACAAGTACATTCACAACAAATATTCCCTTGCCTTTTCTTTGATGACTGCCAACGTGGTATCAGCGATGCTCAGTATAACAGGAGTCCAGTCCTCTTTGCCTGTAGAGGACACGAGGCTGTCTATGGCGCCATTTATGATGTCCATACCTGGTGACATAACGCAGGAGAGTCTCAGCAGTTTAGGATCTAAGAATCTACAACATGAGGTCTTCCAGTGGGTGTTTGAGTTTACCTATAGGTCGAGACACAGACGTCATCCCCAGATAGTGCACATGAAACTTTTGCACCAACTCGGTCTTTGGCATGGGAAACTCTGCAGAGAGAAACACAAAAACACAAATTTTAACATTCGCGCACACACACACACACACACACACACAGCCCCCAAGAGATTTAATCACGTGACAACATCTAAAGCAAATTTTCAAAAGAGTAGTCCACACATGATAATTGGCTTAAAGTGCAGAAATAAACAAACACTGCTGAATATTTTAATATACTGGGGCACTGTTCACATGATTAGAGCACAAAAAACACAGAAGCATGTAAGCGAGCTGGAGTGGTTTCCCTATGAAAACACAGCTTTGCCTGCTTATAGGATCGCCTTTAGGCAGAAAATAGTGTTGTACGCAATGTTGTTGTATCACCTGCATCTCAGTTGGCACAAATGTTTGCATCATCTATCTAATAATGTGTGTAATTAGCTTTAAAAGCTATGGAAAACTCTTTGACTGTCAACACGGGGTTTAAATTTGTACACACAGAGGCCTTAATGTGCAGTACTGTACAAAAGCCTTGAGACATCCCTCATTCCTTTATATTTTGCCAGGAAAAAGGAAAATATTTGAAAACATACATGAAAATACAGTTTAACAGGCAAAAACAGACTCTGTACAATACTAACTGGCTTAACAGTCAATATTTGGTAAGGGCACCTTTATATTTCTACACAGTCTGAATTCTCTTAGGGAAGATTCCTTCTAATTTCTGTAAGTAGTCTTCAGAAATAGTTATCCAGGCTTTTTAAAGGACATTCAAAGCTCTTCTTAGGATTTTGGCTGCCTTTTGTTCTGTTCTATATCAGGGTGCTCCCACACTGCCCATATGGAAAAGATATATATAAATCTCATAAAGTTTTTATCTGTCTTGTATGAAACTTGTATGAAAAGCATACAAGAGTGAAAACACATATAAGATCCCTTGAAAAATTATATAATGAAACTTGTATGTTTTGTATACTTACTAAAAAAATATATGAAAGTAATGAGAAAGTGGCTACTTTCATGAGTAAATCATGTATGCCTTATATGATTTATATATGATTTACTCATGAAAGTGGCCACTTTCAAGAGTAAATCATATATGTTTTTACTATTTCTTTTCCATATGGGTGATGATCTGGGGAAGCAACTCCATGACTGATAATGCTGCATTGTGTGTTTTCCAGTTATGCCTTTACTGCAATGATAGTGTGCTTTTATCACTATCGTGCTAAAAAATTATGCCATTGTTAAAGACTTTCCACATAGTATTGTCTGATCAATAATCTGACGATACTACTCGTACGTTCAGAATTGCATCAGATCTCCAAGAGGAGCTCCAACAATAATGGATAAAATAGCCTGCATTGTGTTTTACACAGTCCTGTGTCATGTCTTTGCTAGATATTTCGCTTAATGAGATGATTTTCACGTACACGTCACTTCTTTTTTTGTTCTCCAGTTGTCGAGTTTCCTGGATTAAGGAGATTCTGCACATCATGCAAAGATATGCAAAGTTTTCAGCTAATAGCTCTTTGGGAATCATGTTGGTGCAAACGTACTATTTTATGCCTGTCAAACCATATTATTTTTGGCATTTTTCACAGATTCAACTCAAGAAATGGGAAGAAATGATGTGTGAATTTAATTTGCTTCTCACATAAAAATTCTTGCATAATCAGGCCCCATCTTCTCTTAAAGACCTCATCAGCATATCACCCCAATAGAGCACTTCACTCTCAGCCTGCAGGCTTACTCGTGGTTCCTAGAGTATTTAAATGTAGAATGGGAGGCAGACCCTTCAGCTTTCATGCCCCTCTTCTGTAGAACCAACTCCCAGTTTGGATTCAGGAGACAGACACACTGAATCCTCCCTTAGTTATGCTGCAATAGGTCTAGGCT